GTCATATCTACTCCCAAAATCATAACGAAAATGACTTCACGAATAGATACCATTGTAAAGCACAAATTACGAATCGTAACAAGTCGTCTATATTGGACAAATCTCATAAATAAATAAATAGTGCTAAGAACATTGCACTTAATTGTTAACAAGAAATAGAAATGGAAATTTGGACTACTTAGAAATTTCTAGCCTGAAATTATCCTTATGGAAAAGCTGGTCATCATGGTTTTTTTTCTAATCGGATAGGATCTTAAATTGTAGTTTCTTATAGGTGGGCTTTTACAGTCAGTACTTCAGCTCTATACCAGCTGTAAAGACTTCAATATATCAAAATTAAAAGCAATGCGCACATGTACAAYATGTACGTAGAACTAGATTTAGATACTGACTTGAGATGAACACAATTTGTCAATTAAAAGATAAACGAAACTGAAAAGTATTGGAAAATCCCAAAAGCTCACCAGTTACTTGAATTCTTGTTCTGTAATTGTCAGATTAGAAGCAAAGATTTATCCAACAGCTGGAGGCCCAAAATGCTAAGCGCATCAAACGAAAAAGAGGARAAAGTGCGACCTCTTGAAAGATTGTCGGATTTTTTTCCGCTCGGACCACGTGACGTTCCATCCTGATTTCGAAAAGATATCCATACCTTTTAGAACATATCTGAAAGGTTTTTTGAYCACAATAGCGTAAGCTTGTGCCTTTTAATGCTTTTGAAAAGCAACGCTGGCTTTTAAGCATGTTAAATCTGCTTTTATATAGTATAATACTCATTTTAGCTCGCGTGTTGTATGATTGAGTAAAACATTTGTCGCCACGCTAACTTTCGTATGACACTTTTAGAGGTATTTTTGAAAATTTCCTGGAAAAAAACCCTCCTCCGGATTTCTGCATAATAGGGCAAAAATTGTTTTAGAAAATACTTATGATTGGTACTGTGAACTAGTCCTCAAAGTAAACAAGAATTTTTGCGATGGTATATATAATTTACTATAGTGACTATATTTGCAAGGTGTTAGATTTGTAATAAACGACTTGTTTCTATCTTTACCAAAAACCTCAACTGTATTTTGAGGTTGGAGTGAGTTAAGCAAAAAGTATGTGGGTAACACGCAAATGGAGTAGAACCCGAGTGGTCAGTGAAAAATGCTACTTGGGCGTAAAAACAACATAACTAATTGTACTTCTATTTGGCTTTTATCTCGAGTAAAACACTAAAAACACTTGTGAGCAACAGAATGATATTGCTGTCGGTCATACTTAAGAATTCCACGATATAATMTCCGATCGCGAATTTCCAAATAAAATTACACCAATACAAATTTATCACTGTTTTTCTGGTAATAGTCACGGAATCYACTCAAAAATTAAGCAGGACGAACGCACTTTTGGTGAATATTTGAAAAATATGCACTTCCATACGTCCTCGGGRTCGGAAAAAAGAAAAAAAAGGATGATCCGCTCTTACTTTCAATTGCTATATAGCTTGTTTTTATTCCAAAGTAGAAAGCATTGCTCGCCTATGATTACGAAGGAAACATGGAGTTAAAAAAAATAATAATAACAATGTCGGAAATGCTACAGTACTTTATGCACCTTTTCGAAGCCGGTTCTATGTATAATTGTTGACCTGATTGGCGTGGGTTTTTTAACATTATGGCCTACAAGTATTCACAGTTGTCTTAATTCTAATCCCTTTTTTCCCCTATTTTTTACTCTCTTTCGATTGATTCTAATCACTTTTTTTCTCTTTTTTACTCTCTTTTAACTGAATACCATTCTTTTATGATTCTCATTTCAAATTGTCGGTTATTTTGCCCGTTTGAGAAACGATAAAACGATAAAACGATGACAACATCACAATGATTCATCCTAGAAATGCGATCCACACGTGCGATGTTTTGCCGAATCCTTTTTGCGCAATATATATATGAGGGACATCACAAAAGGAGGCTAAAGAATTAAGACCCTTTTGATGCAGCGAGTTAATTAATTGCGTTTTTTGGAAGACTGGATTTTCCCGCTAGAGACAAGACCCCTTTTGTGATGTACTCTGTCATCTTGGCCTGAACCTAGAAAATACAGAGCACGCAAGACGCAAATCAACCGATGCTGCGCTGATGCGCAATAACGCCCATTGACCGTCATGCACCTGGACAATAGACCCGAACACAACGCCCGAAGTTTCCTTCTTGGTAATAAAAAACGAAATTACTGATCAAAAAAGCTTACGTTGATTGATGACCTTGCTTGCAGTCAGGACAATTTTGAGAAAGGGCAGCAGAAAAGGGGGTTAAAGAATTAAGACCCCTTTGATAGAATTAATTGTGTCTTTTTGAAGATTGGATTTTCCCGCTAGACATAAGACCCCTTTTGTGATGTACTCTCATACTGATGCTGCTAGTAACAAGGTATCGTGATGTGCCAAGGGGACCTGCTATTATTTAGACAGCCTCTGTATCCGTCCATAGACTACACCGAATTCCGCCCTCATATACAGGCACTTTAGACCAAGTTAATTACGACAATTTTCCTATAGGCTTTCTTATCAAACACCTGTTTTTGGCATAAAAAAAATTAAAATAAATGCCATTTTATATTGAAAAAAGATTGCTGGAGAGATTTGGAGAATACGCCAACGAAAGTTATTCACCTGACAAAATACAAGATCAAACTTCAAAATCAAAACCATTATTACAGTCTCATTTCTTTTRATGACCTACATCGCAATCAATAATCAACACCCACATTCTCCAATCTCTCTGATAACATTGTTTTTGAAATACAGCACACTCTCTTAAGGCGAAACTCTCGTGAGCGACCATTTCACTTAAGCGACCACCTTAACAATTTCCCGTTTGGGTTTCCATATAAGCTTTTGTAAGATAACACTCGTTATCGACCACTCTTCTCAGCGAGTGCGACCACCTCTGGGGCTATTCTTTTGAAATTTTCATTGTTTTCCTCGCCCGTAATCGACCAAAAAAATACGAGTATTATAGCCGCCATATAGTGTCCGTTAATCTGCATTCTAGCACGTTCATATTTTTCATTAAATGCATGGTTTGGGTTCTATGGGTCGCGTAGCGACAGGTGAGAGATTTTCAACACGAGAAGATGTTAGAACGGGTAAGAATGGTTTTTGTTAACGCAAAGTGTTCATTTAAAGTGTAATGTGTGATACACCGAAAAGGAAAAGCGAAAACGAGCAAAATAAATAGTAATGAAGTGAAGTGAGCTCTGCGAGGTTTAATGCATACAAATGTGGGGTATTCAGCCTTCTTAAAATCAAAAGCCTCTTTTGTAAAACAGTGCCTTAAAAGCAATTTATGTATCCCTAATCCCCTTTTAGTCAATAAGTGTTTTTTAATCGATTTTAAACTTTTAAAAAATGATAACTTGCTTCTTTACGTTAGCATTCGAAGCAAAAAAATGCTGATCATTTGTAATAATCACAAAATAGATGATCGTAGAAGATTATTTCGTGAAAACATAATGTGCAGACAACGCCCCAACTTTTAATTTCATCTTAACATTTAAGGTTTCCACTCAGAATGGAACTATACGTCTGTAGGCACAATGAAGGCTATGTCTCTTTGATGAAGTCGATAGATATTTTTAGACTTCTTCCTGTTGTACAAGACTTATTTCCTTTTCTAAATTGAATGTAACAACAGCTGGATAAATCCTTATGAAAAAAAAGAAAAAAAAGTCGCCGTAGTACAATCATGTCGGTTACTATAGATACTATCGAAGTAACAAAGATAAACATTATCCCAATATAATTACGACTTAAACGAATGTAATATGGCTTTTACATCAGATACAGATATAACTACTACAACAACAACAACAACAACTACTGCTGCTGATGACAACCATAAACGCGGTGATGATCATAAGGACTACACGAAATTGATTTACATAAATACATAATAAAAAAGATTGCCAACGCCTAGTATATTTTTTCAAAAGATTAGATGAGATATCTCGATTATACAGCGAGTTTTAAATCTACAAAAAGCAGACATTCAAAGAAGGGCATTCTATATTTTTTTTTCAAAAGATAAGATGAAATTGTACAGCGAGTTTTAAATCTACAAAAAGAAGACATTCCAAGAGGAGCATCCTTTTCCGTCTGTCTTAMACGTTTTTAGCACAATACGAAAAGCAGACATTCAAAAAAAAGARYATCYTTTTCCGTCTGTCTTACACATTTAGTCAAGTTTGCAATCAGTACCCGTCAATATGGCTCCGTGATAAACACCGCGTGCAAWAATCATCCGTGCAGACCAACACGACCAGCAAGTTAAGGCAATACGATAGCGCTTATTGATAAGAACAAATTTAGAGACAATGGACAATTCACAAACCGAGGTACACTATGGAGATTCAATATAACGATGCACATTTATATAAATTTGTAGCGATAGCTACACAAGGTCAATATTGATGCAAAATATTCTGTTATCTGAYAAAGAGCACGGAAAACTTTACAACCCCAGACTRCATTTMATGAAGCCGACAATGTTGACTACTTTACCACCACGGAGGAGGCGGGGGGTTTAGTTCTCGGATGACAAAGRGCGTGAATCAGTGCTCGCCGAAAAAGTTAAAATTGGCCCTGAAGGAGACCCATGTCCTGTGGCGATGATCGTGGCAGCGATGACGTTTAACCCATAAAGGGACCAATTAAAAATGTATTTAAAGATTCGGTTTCAATGTAGATCAGTCGAACATCAAGCGGTTTCAGCTTGCATGTCTTTGTGRCGAGTAAAATAGTTTTTCTATTGTTTTTTTACCCTAAAATGGACAGCAACACTTATGTGCATTCTCATCAAATCATGCCAAAGCGGTTAAAAAACACCGACTTTCAGCTYCCAACAAGAACAAAGAGACACAGGAATCCCATCTTTTTATACCACAATAGATTCAATACCCATAGTAATTTTCGGTCGTGAATTTTCCACCCTTAGATAAGAGTCTATATATATTACTTGCTATAGCTCTTGCTTGATTCTCCCATCATGGATTCCTARTGCTTGAAGGCAAACAATTGCTGCAGCCTGCTCWGCAAACYTTTTACTTTTTTCCCTACAAAAAATAGACATAAAAYAATAAAAYAATTGTATTGTAGCATTATGKAATTTATATGAAATTCAATGGAAARACATTCGCAGACATCTTTCKTAGATGTGGTTTCACTGAGCTAAAAMCTGTGATAACGTCAAGTGCAGTTCAACTGAAATCAAATATTGAGCTTGTGGCCAAAAATAAAGAGGAAAGCCATTATCAAGTCCTTATGAAGTGTTAACAACAAATTAAAAGGAAATAATCGATTTATAAAGCCTGATAAGATGCTTTAGTCTCTTTTCATCAAAGTCTCCGTTACAAGCGTAGTGACTAGTGTACAAAGCTTGTTGCTTAAAACAAAACTAGACGTTTTATGTTTCAGTAGAGTGGGGATTCTCAATAACCTTTTTCATATACAACACAAGAACGCAGAGAGACTTTACTAAATTACTAAAAGCCACGTGGTCATATCGTGCGGATTTCTTCCTCCGTAGTTCGCCCAAAGGCTTCTACTCGGACGACGGAAGTTACTTCGTTAACATTCAAATTGTYGGAGCTGTTTCTGCACGTGCTTTTTAAAGCTTAAAAGCTTTAACATTAATTTTTGGATGATTTTTTTTTAAGTAATAATAGGTATCGATAGTCAAAAAACGTAAAATGCAACAAAAGGTAAAAGAGACCCGATTGTCAACACTACGGTAGGATTGCGCACTTTTCGACAAATTTCAAACGACTCGATAAAATRTACCTTAGGTGAAAAGGTACCTTTTGTACTGAGGGTTTTTCAACGTTTTATATAAAAACCGTATATCTGTTTCACGGATTTAAGCTTAGTGACTTGAAACAAATACATACCATTCAGTTGAGGTGTATTTTTTACCGTCGACAGTCACTGTACTTCGAAAAGCTTTGGTTTGATCCTCGATAATCTAAAACAAATATGCAATGTTTTCAATCAGAAAAAAAGAATAGAATTTTCATTATTTCAAAAACTCAAATTTTAACAAGTCAAGATAATTACCGTATCATAAACTGGCGGTTTCAGCTTTTGTTTTCTAAATAAAAAATATTGTTATTGACAATAGACTCGAGTTTTTCTAGTTTAYGCGGTCGCACGCGCGCGTCATATTAAATTTTGGCGGGAAAACGGTACGATCGCGCACAAGTTCTCTTTTCCGCACAGAACTATGTCTCTATCGCAAAATGTCGATGGATAGATATCCCTTTATGAAAAATATTTCAAATTAATGGCTTCATACCATTACTGAATTTTTATTTTTATTWATTTATTTATGTTGCTTTTGCCTTTTCGGCTGCGCATACCCAAAAACAAAGAAATTAGAGAGTAAGCCAGGAACTAGTGGCTATTTTACCTTGTCATATTTGTTAGAATTACTTTCGGAGTTACTGCATTTGGATAATTCTTTCTGTGGAATAAAATATAAAAATATCAGCTAATATAACTAGTGATATGATAAATATTAAAAAAAATATTAGAAAAAGTGTTCAAAAGTCGGGATATGGTATTCAATAACTGTTGTTTACGGCGGAGCAGTTCCATTTTTTCATTTGCTCCAAARAAAATGTGAAAAAGTAAACTCAACTTTCCCGCTTGTAGAAAGAGAAATGAAATAAAGTGTTATTTTGTCCTATTAAATAATATCTTTTGGAAGCGTTAAATAATATTCACAGCATAAAATATGTTATCGAGTCCCTTTAAAAATTCTGCAAGTCGGTCAAATTTTCAACAATTCCTGCCTCCCCTACATGATCCAGCCCTTGGTTGTGTTTTGCGCCGAACCAAAAATATTCTCCGGGGTCCCTGATAATTGTTATATTACATTTGTATCTAGAACARACGATCTTTCTTTTTTATCTTTATTATTTGCTTGCGCTTTGACGTGAAAAATGTTGAACAATGCGCGATGTCAGAATACAACATAAAAAAATTACAAATTACCTGATAAATTTAATTTTCATTTCATAGACATCACAGAATTCTTCGTCGCTTAATTTCCTTTTGGTGACAGTGAATAATGGCTCTGGTTGATTCTAAAAAGAMAAAAAAGAATATCTAGATCAGTTGAAAAACAAAAACGATATCTTTAGYATGTGCACCATGCTTCCTTCCCCATACAGTAAGCGTCTGCTCAATGGACCAACGCATTCCATTAGTTTATGCATCTTTGCAAGTCCAAAGAAATAAAAATTGGTCAATTTAAAATAACTGTAAGTTTTGCTTGACTCTACAAYATAGAAGTGCTATCGCTTCATCTTCATGTAATGATGAAACAGCGTTATATAATGAAGGTAAAGCCATTGCACTTTGAAATCCATAATCTAAACTCTAATCATATGAAAAAGGACTATTTTACCATTAAACAGTGCACAATACACATACAGAGTAGAGCTAAGTAAATGAAGTAATAAAACAAAGAGGTAAGATTTGCTGTGATTCTAAGTTTCGTGCTTACGCACTCATCAGACGGTATTTAAAATTAAATCTTGCCTCTCTGTTTTATTACTTCATAATCTCAACTCTAAATGCACAAGTGATAAAAAAGGGACAAGCAGAAAACATACTTCACTCTCTGTTCTATCGTAAATGACTCTTCTCTCCAGACAGCTCTTGTAGTAGGGAAGAAGATCAACAAGAGCACTACAAGGAAATAAAGAAGGAAATAAAAAAAATGTAAACTCAAGAATTCATAGTTACATGTACGTTTCTTCACACTTTGCAAAGATTTCTGAAATTAAGATAATTGGATGTTTAGCATAGAAAATTGCACGACCTTGAGTACAATTTGGAATTAATAGTCACGAGTAATGTTTTGAAAGTTCTTCGAAATTGCATTTTGAGAACTTTTAAAACATTAAATGAGTGACTGATAATTCCAAATTGTACGAGATTGTGATTGTGCGATTTTTTGTTTATAGTACATTTAGTAAAACAAAATTTAATAAGGAGTACAATTAACRCTGTAATTGTACTTCTCTCAATTATTTTGTTAAATGTACTATAAGATGCAAAACACCTTTTCATAGTGATGCAATGAGGAACATTGAACATAGTTTTTCTTTCACTGTGAAAAGCTTTCCTTGTCTAATACTATATCAAAGAAAAGTGAATGCTAAATTTTGTACATAAATGTACATTGTAGCCCTTTGCAGTACATATTCATCCTTCAACCCACCCACCCAACTTCACCCTACCAGACACCTACATAGTCCCTCCACCCATCCCATTCATGACTTTCAAAAATAGCCACGTCACGATTGCAAACCATGGGACTGGGAACAAAGCACTAAAACAAGGTCTCAAAGGCCAGCTTCCGTACAGTAAACTTTGATGGTGTCTTGCAAGAGTGTTTTGCCATAAATATTAACATACCAATACATCTTTCAAATTTCTGGACACTACCTAGCATCATTTTTGAAAGTCATGTATAAGTTTAAGCAACTCTTTCATATTTGCTTTTTTTGTTATTCCTAATTCTTCCTATTCCCCAGGTAGTCATTATGGCATACACAGTTATAATTTCTCACCTCATTTCTTCCATATCACTAGATGCTGTCAGCTTTTGTGACAAGTCAGTAGTATGTTCGTCATGCATCAATGTAATGGCACAAAACTTTGTGTTACTAAACAAATTATCACAGTCTATTGCCTGAAGAGAACAATAAGAAATGGAGCTGTCAATCATATACTTTAATATCACGAGGGATTGGGTACAAGTTCACTTGTATGATAATGAGAGAGAGGGTTGAGATATACAACTATTTCTAACGATATACATGTACAATGTTTTAACATAAGTTATTACAAAGACCACTTTGAGACATGCTCAGTCAGTAGAGCCTAAGTGCTCAGGTTCAATAGTTTGTGAGTGGAAGCACAATTTTATAAAGCAATTCTCTAGAGTTTGAAAGAACACTGCACATTGCAAATGCAACAGTGCAAATTTTTGAAAATTTATTTCTAACATACACCTACATATACTTGAAAAAATGTTGTCGTAGAAAATAGGACATTTGYATTTAGTAAAAAGGAATAAATTAAAAAGACAAAAGAAGATCACTGAGGCTGAATGCTCTCTTTTGTTTTGTTTTTTAATTTTTTTCCTTTTTACTAAATACAAAATGTTCTATTTTCTATGACAACATTTCTGCAAGTAGGTGTATACATGACAAAACATTATGCAATTTAAAAATATCATTAAATTTTTGGGCAAGTTTACACTGTACTCACAGTCTTTATGTACTCCTTTACTACTTGTGTTCTTGGTAAAGGACCGTCTTTCCTAAAGCATTAAACATAACACAAGGTAAATGAAGGAGTTAAGACAGTTTAAGCATTTGACTACTCACAGCTTGTCTACGTATCTGGTTTGAGTCCATTGAAATTTAAGACAAGAAAGATAAGTTTAAGAAAGARCCTCAAAGTGCTTGCTGTTCAAATGCCTTCATGGTAAAATATTGATTGTACAGTATGTATCACAAATGATTCAAAATAGAACTATTCAGTGGATAAAAGTCCATAAAAATCTGTACAGTCGATAAATTTATCAACCCTTCATACAACAGTTTTTCAACAGTCATGTTACTTTGTTAAACTACATGCACAATGTGAAGTGAGTTTATTTACTCCAACTACAGGTTCCTGAAAATAACAAAATTCTACCAATGTCAGACAAAAGACAAGATGAAAATACCTAAAAATTGATAAATTCCATTGAGCTGCCCGAGCAACCATCACAGATGAGCAACCAGTTTCTTGTTTATATTTTTTCATTTCTTCAAATGTYGTTATGTCCAAAGAGCCACCATTAGCAATGACAGGAATAGACAGTGCATCGGCTACTGCCCTAATTACRTCTTTATGAACTGGTTGATGAGACCTCTCATGCTTCTCCCTAATAGAAAAACAAAAAATAATAATTCACTTYRAATCTTTTAGTCAAAGGTGGGCTACTACGTGTAGGTGGAATCCACTACATCAACAGAGAGCTGACAAGATTATCAGCAAGCAGAAATGGATACCCACT